GGAACCCTGACACACAACGATGTCTGACGTATACTCATTAACTTGACCTTTGAATAAAGTTTGACGAAAATCTTTAAAAGGTCTGCATAAAAACGTCTGTAAGATTTGAATACCCATTTGTGATTGGTGATCTAAAATAGTAACAGTGGTTTGGTGTGGTTTAATTTTGTTTAACGTCCTACTAACAGCTAAGGTCATTTAAGGACATGCTTTCATGTGTGTAGTGTATGCGTGCTTGCGTGTGTGTATGCAGGAGACAGAGCATGTTGGTGTGCTTGCCTTCCTTGTGATAGTGCGGATCTGATGCCAACTTTATAGTGCTATCTCACTGAAATACCAAACCGAAAGGCACCAAGCACAGCATTCCGACCCGTCACATTATACTGACAAAGGGTGAACCAGTTGTTGCCATTCCCCTTAATGCTGAACGTTAAGCAGGGAATAACAACTACCATTTTTAAGGACTTTGGTATGTCCCGGCCTGGGGACAGAACCCATTACCTTCCTCACCTGGGCGAACACTCAACATGAAGGGCCAAAGGTAAGGTGTTGCCAAGCAAGGGGCTAGAAAATAAATTTTTAGAAGTAGAAAGAAAGATAGAGATCCCAAATATTGCAATGGGCGCAGCAGATTTATTGTGGTCGCTTTTGTGTCCCCAAATAAAGGACACCAAAGCAAATCCCTATTTCTGCAGAGGGTTTCAACAGTAGTCGCCTCCTACGATACATGCAGTGGGTGACAGCAGGTGTATAGTTACAGTGACCTTAGTATTGACCTTGTCACCCTGAAATATAAAATCATCTGAGCTGTTCTCAGGACCTTTGCATAAACATTGACGAAAAATCTGTATAGAAACGAAATCAGTGTAGCCATGAATTTAAGCTGGGAATTGAAATGCAGGCACATGACAGGATGGGATTGGACGGACATACATAAAACACTATAATGCCCTCATTCATTGATGAAAGTGTATTGTACATGTGATGTATATCAACCAATGTTTGTCACATGGTTAATTCATAAATGCTGTACATGTCCTGACAACGCCCCCATCGACTGTTCTCAGTATACTTATACATACATTTGACTTCCTAGTTTTTACCCCTAACGAAACATTTGAACTCTTCCAATTCAAAGGTTTGAATAGTTCACTATGAAATTCCAGTAATTTAGACAAGTGACTTTCTAATTACTCAACTTTGTCGACTATTGGTCAATAAGGCCGATAAACTAATTCATTTACAACAGAATTCATGATCAAATTTAGCCGGAATAATTGTAGGTAGACATTACGGAGTTTGCAATAGGGTGATTCATAACCGTAAAGCTATTTTCTTGTGAGGTACAAACAAAATTAAGAGTTCAACCCTGAAGACACATTTGAACTCTTCCAATTCAAAGGTTGGAATAGTCCAATATGAAATTTCAGGGGTGAATGAGTTTAACATGAGACATTTATTTGCAGCTGCTATGTCTGCAGCATCACTAATTAGCTTTATAATTCTTAAGTTGTCTCTGTCGTGGCCACTTAGGACAGATAAAGTACAGATTCTGTGTATGTTTGAAAGGAGGTAGTTCTTCCCTGGTATTGGTTTCTACTTTCTCAAAACCAAGGCGATATATGTACAACGACATGAAGGATTTCATGATGTATTTCTGTAAAGCAAATATTAATGGATTGTCTGGTTATATTTTAGTTAACGGTAATCAATGATTGATTGTAAAATTTCAGCCGATTCTCAACAACAATTTAGATGGAGACTTCTACAGTTGTGGGATCGCACAACGTTACACGATGTGCGGTGTGCGCACGATGTGTGCACGGTGTGTGAACGGTGTGTGCACGATGGGCGAACGATAAAAAGCTGGACGATCATTGCTTGCGCACATATATGCGCAGGATGGACGGACGTTGTGCGATAACAATCGTGGATGGTGTAAATTGAGGAATGCCTTAACAATTTATACGGTTT